CTTACTTTTGAGGATCTCAGAAATAGTTATTTTTGAAACAAAAAAAGATATTATTGAAGAATTTGTCAGCTGTTTTTGTCTATTCTGTTGAACAATTGAACATTGAACAACAACAACAATAACGAAACACTGAGACATTAAAAAAATCAACTTTTGTGTCCCACAGAAGAAGGTCTTACAGGTTTGGAATTACATGAGGGTAAAAAATTGACAAAATAATAATTATTATATCATATTAATATTGATTATATTATGATTTAATAATGACATTTATAATGACAATAATATTTTTTTTTTTTTTTGGTGAACTATCCCTTTTATAAGTAAATGATGAGCTCATGCTGAAAAGCATGAAAAGCTTGCAAACCCTTAAATCAGTTGTGAAAACATTTGAGGGATATCTCGTTAGTCTAAAATTGGATTCTCTGTACAGTAGATTCACATTTTTTAGTATCTCTGACTCAGTATGCTGGATTTGCAGTTTGTAAATGCGATGGAGTCATGTTTGATGCACTGCATGGCTGCATTAAAAGGTTGATTGAAAGATTGAAATGCCTTATCTTGTCATATCTCATCTTTCCCTCCCCCCCTCATTTATCTCTCTCTGTGCTGCAGGCGTCAGAGGAGGCCTCCTTACGGGCCCTGGAGAGTCTTATGACAGAGTTTTTCCACAGCTGCACCACCAATGACCGCAAGAGAGAGATTGGTGAGCATATGCCTGGCCCTGGCCTTCACACAGTTATCATGCCCTGATTTGCAGAGTCATCCTTTGTGCAGTAATAATCTGAATAGGCCACCACTTGTTATGTCTGTCTCGTATCATGAGACGTTCGATTTTCTCTTCTTTCAAAAAATTTCTTGATGCACAAGATCGCCCTTTATTCACTTCAGTGATGCCTATTCAGTATGTAGCAAATTGTCAGGAGCAGTATGAAGTAGTGTTCATACTGTTAAATGAGTGTAAAATGTAGTAAGGTCTATTAAAGCTGCTCTTCGTGTGTAGCACCTACCGCTCTGCAGATCCTTCTGAAGAAGCCAAGTGTTGGAAAAGAGCAGTGTGATCTGAGAGTTTGACCTGCATATTTCCACATCAGTTATTTTATATTGCTCATTTCATATGCAAAAAAGGCGTTTCAGGGTTTCTGCAAGGTTTATAGTTTTTAAAAAGGTCTTAAATTGGTCTTAAGGTCTTAAAGTATTGGCATTAAATGTTGCCTACACTGCCTAAATACCTAAGTGTTTTTTTTAATATAAATATCTAAACATCCTTAAATCAAGATACATTTACATGAAATGCAAATGAAAAATACGAAGTTTTGTTTTCTGAGAAATTAAAAAAATATATAAGTGAGTTTATGCTTAAAACGAGAACAAACATCTGTCATTTGGGAATGAAAATTAGTTTTCTCTTTGAATTACATTGATTTCATGAACTCAATTTTGATCAACTTCTTACAGGGCAAGACTTCCTATTCACTTCCTGTGTCACTTTACTTGTCAAGTAAATGTATCTTGATTTGAGAATCTTTTAGACATTTGGAAAACAAGACAGGAATACTTAGCGAGAACATCACGTTTTTGCAGTTTGATCAGATTGTACAGTAAAAATGATTTCCGTATTCTAGTGGTTGGGAGCAGAGGTATTCAAGCATTTTTATTTTTTTGTTTTAAATGAGTATTTTCAAACTTTGAAGCGTTAAATCTTCCTTACTTTGATCTTAAAATGTCCTACTTTTACCTCATTAATCATAAGACCTGCAGAAGCCCTGGAGTTTACGTAACAGTCTTAAAGGCACAGCAGCAAAAATATGGCCTGTTTAATTAAGTATTCGAGACAGACTGCAAAATATTATTGTTGGTTCTGTGACAAATTGCTTATGTTCTTCTATTGCAAGTCGCTTTGGATAAAAACATCTGCTAAATGCAATGGAAAACGCTGATGAAAAACTAAATTATGACTGTTTTGATGCATCAATGCTTTTAAAACTTATAAGGGAACCTCAAATAAAAATAAATTATCATGCGACCCCTTTAAGGTGAGGAATGTGTCTAATAAGTGTTATATTTTGTGGGTGGAGACCACATTCATGACATTTAAGTTTCATAAAATCCTTGGTATTTGATTTGTTTGAGAGCATTTGGCCCAAGATTTACTCTAAATCCTGAGTCAAAGCATGGTGCTTTGAAACGCAGGACTTGTAGCTCAACATATGATCAATGTACACTTCTCAGTCAGCAGTGATATATTTGGAGAAAGTGAAACTGTCTGTAATTGGTCAAGTGTTGCTTCATCAGGAAATAAATGGCTTGTATATCAGACCCTGCATAAGTCAAGTATTGCATCAGAAACATTCAGTTTCCAAAACCCAGAGTTGGTTTTGATATATGCGCAATGTTATTGTCATTTTACTTTAAGAGAAAACCAATAATACGTTTGTAATAAAGTAACAGTTCACCCAAATATGACAGAATTTAACCTTTTGAAATTAACCTTGATTTATATTCATTTTTGCTTTAGACTTGACTCCATAATTATACATTGCAGTCCATAATGCAAATGAAAAATGATTTAAAAGTACATTCATTTACGAACTTTGAACGAAATATGAAGTGTGAATGGGATTTTTACAGAAGCTGTTTGAGTGTAAGTCAGCTGTACTTGTAGTGTCCTCGTTAACCATCTGTATGGTCTTTCACCATATTTCACACCATGTTTTCAGACAAAAAACATGTTAAAAACTACCAGCTGTGTATGGTTTTTCAGTTCCTATTTGTCACAAGAGTTGATCTGTTTTTTAAAACGTTGTCATAACAAAAACCTGCAATATCTGATAGTCAATGTTAAGGGTTCAGTTCCTAGAAAAGATGGAACGCATATTGATTTTGAAAAAGGTAGATACTGTAAGTGGATTTAGTTCCAATGT